CGTTATTTTTTTTTTTTTGGGGGGGGGGGTGGCCATACCGTATGTTTGTACCCGTTTGCAGATCCTAATCAATTCTAATACTAACATCAAATGTATTTTATTTATTTATTTTTTTGCGGAGGATACAAAAAAAACTAATTCAAATTGCACGGAAAAACCTCTAGAAAAAGAGATGCACAGAATCGTAAATACTTGTGTTCCTACTATCAAGCCCATAAAAATATCAAAATATCCGTAAAAATCGGCACATATTTTCGAAATGCAAGCTGGAGATGTAGCTTAACCTATATTCCAGTCACTTGATAATGGTAGCTGTCAGCGACCATCACTGCCATGTAAGTTTCAAAACTTTTTGTCTATATATTGAAGAACCATTTACAGCATGCTAAGATATGAATATTTTAATAAAATTTTAAAACAAATAAGATAAAAGAAAACAGATGATTTTTTTAATAAAAAACTATGAATGAATGTGTGAGTGTGAGTATGAATTTGTGTTAATTGTTTAATTTAGTAATTTTAGTTTGTAATTATGTATTATGGCTTGCCTAATGACAACCAGACCACGATGGGGACCGTAGTTCCTGTGTTATCTTTAATATTTGTATTGTTTAAATACATTTAAATTTCTTTAAATTTTCAAGCTCGGTGAGGAGTTCAGTCCAGTTACAATGCCATTCATGATTCTGCACCCCTAATCAGTGGTGGTGCCAGCGTGGATTCCCCTGGCATCCAACGCCACGACGAGGTCGTCAGCATCAAAAAAGAAAAACAATTTTTTGATCACAATTGCGGCTATTTGCCACCACTACAAGGTTCCACATCCCAAAACAGTGGTAGCGGCAGGCCCCCCCCACCCAGTCGTCTGATGCCACCACGAGGTCATCGGATCTACAAAAAAAATAATATTTTGCCTATCAAAAATGTTATTTTGATTGGTCTAATATGGGCCATACTATGCAAAGTCAAATAAAATCTGAAAGGTTTTATATGACACCCTGTCGAATGCAAAGGTTCCTATTGTTAATAGGAACAAATAAATGATATCTGAATCTAAATCTGAATAAATTCCAGTGTAAATACACCCTCATTGGGGTCAACTTTCAACAAACCATTGATTGAACACTAGAATTAGAGGGTACCTGGTCATGGTAAGTACCTAAATTAGGTCTTATCAGTTCTTCTGTGCTTATCAGTAACATGCAAGGTCAGTTTAACAGTAGGTTAGATGAATTATCACCACAACCAAAGTACACAACAGTAAAATAAAGCGCAACAGTAAAATAAGCTACTGCAACAACACTGCTTCAGCTAAAACCATCATTGCCAACTACACTAGTTAGTAGTTCTTCAACAACACACGCTTTGCGGTCATCTTTCCTCCATATCCGAGCCTCCACTTCTTATAAATTTCAAGTCTGAGAGGAGGAAATGGTTCTGGAATGAAAAGCACCAGCTATACCTCGTAAAGCATTCAGGTGAAGATATACAGTATGTAATGTGATTATGTGCACTTAAGGTCAATGCTTCTATAAATTAAACTTTGCTTTCTTGAACTCAGACACTTTACAGAAGATTTAGCATATTTGCTGTGAGATTAAAAATTAATTAATTTGGATGCAGATTATTATAGAACTACATTTGCTGTGAGAGAAAATTAATTAATTTGGATGCAGATTATTATAGAACTACTCATTTGTTGTTAGATCTACCAAAATGCACTCAGTTTCAAATTCAATAAAAAGAAGACTATCAAGAATTCCATCTGAGAGCTTTGGAATTGGGAGCCTGCATTTGAAACCTTATGACATCCTACTGAAAGATTTGGAAGTTCAAAGTAGCCTGGGACGCGAAAATGGTCTGAAGGCATGCAGGGCGATGTGGCGTCAAACGTCAACTGTAATTTGGGAGATAGACAAGACTGGACAAGACATCACTCCTCTACTCGATATAAAGCACTCAAATATCTTGAAAGTCTTCGGTTCGGTAATTTCTGACAAACCCACTCATCCAATGCTCCTTCTGGAGTATGCACCCGGAGGTAACTTATTCAATTACATTCACCGACGTGAGGAGGCAATACCGAAACAGCAATTCTTTAACTTTGTTTATGATGCCTTTCAAGCTGTTCAATATCTGCATCGATGTAACATTGTTCATAAGCACATCAGATCTAAAAACTTCTTGGTCTTTCCACAAGGTCTGAAAGTTTGTAATTACAGCATGCTGAAGTCAGAGAGGAACAGTATTAATGTAGAGAATGAAAGTTGGCGATGGTCTTCCCCAGAGATGCTGAGGAATCCTCTAGAAGTAACCACACAATCTGATACCTACTCTTTGTTGATAGTGGTATGGGAAATGTTGACTGACAAACTGCCATTTGAAGAGGAAGATGAGAGATCCAAATGGAAAATCATTAATGAAGACCTTCGTCCTTCAATTCCGAATGACCTGAAGGGAAGCATAGTAAAAATCTTCAAAAATGGCTGGCAGAAGGATCCTATCAAACGACCGAACATTGATGTCACCGAGCAATCTCTCTGCTTGTATGCCTTAGAAAATGGCTTTTCGTATCACAGATTTAACCAGTCATTTGACATGCTAACTTGCAAGTGCAGAGAAGAACTACAAGATAGTATGAGCGTTTTAAATGTGGTAGTTATATCAAGTAATGTCGTAGCTATCCATATGATTGTGAGTAACAGTACGTACAAGGTTCAAATTTTTACTATTAACAAAGGCTTATTAAAAGTTGTGGATTCTATTAGCAATGGAGATAGTAGTAAGATATCTGTATTTAGGATCTGCGCAAAGAAGCAGAAGATTCTTGCTATTGGTGGAAAGCTTGATTTGGACGACATCATTATGACAACAATAAATACTGATGGGGAACATGAAGATGAGCGCATACTAAAAAGTCACTTCCCATGGTACAAATGTCAGAGTGTAGCATGCGACAACCAAGGTAAAATCTACATCTTGGTACTTCAGTCGCATCATACCTGGCAGTGCTGGAAGTATGATGAGACTAAACCATGCTGTTTGATATTCACACATAGAGGTCTTAGTGTGGCACCTAAGATCCTGATCCAGAACAACATGATATGGTGTACACTTGCATCCAATGTTGGTATATACGATCTTGTGGGCAATCGGCTGCATAATTTGCAAATATCGTTTCTAGATCTTGCAATCTCTAAGGGCGGTTTTATCGCTACAAGCATTCCATATTCAAACAAGCTACAGCTCCTTAACTACACAGGTAAAGAAATCAAAGCATTTACAATCTTGAAGAGAGATGATGAAGATACACATTTAGCATTTCTCACAGATACAAGTATCATCATTGCAAATGATCACAGCATTGAAATGGTTCAACTGAACAGCATTGACTAGAATTGGCATTCCGACGAACTTCAAAATAGGCTTCCAGCGAAAGCATGTGACTACAGCTTACTTTAAAATTAATTGCAATAGTACAATATGTGGTTGAAATTCCAACTGATCTGCTCGAGTTTGTTTTGGTTGCAATGCCAACAATTCCAAAAAGTTACTTATTATGCAAAGTTACTCATTAGTATGTCATTTGCATAATACAGCCTAGAAAAGTGACAACTGCTGTAGAAGGCAAAATCATGTTTTGTGCTCAGAGTATTCATTTTATACCCAAAGCAATAAACTTGATCTTCCTTTCTTTGATTTACTCTTATGCATGCATTGCATACATTCACACACATTATAATGCTAAAGTACCTACTGTAATTTATGATATCACATTTTACTGTAGCAATGGCACTCTTAAGACATCAAATATAATGTCACCTAACTTTTGATACCTCATTTTACTGTGGGAATGGCACTCTTAACTCATTGCAACCAAACTTATACTACATTTTACTGTGAGAATGGCACTTTTAACTTAAATGAATGCTATGTAATTTATGATGCCAATTTCATCTTGTGGGAATGGTGCTTACACTTAGGAGGGTCAACTTACGTAGCTTCACAAGAGCGTTTTTCTTTTCACCATGCTCCACGTAGCCAAAATTTACTTCCCAGGTTTTTAAGCCAACAGATTCAGAGCATTGTTTATTCCCACATGAAAACTGGCCTTTTCCACTAACAACTTCATTCTCCACTCTCCACCTCAAGGCAATCTTGAAAGCAAACATTATCAAATGCATTAATTATATTATCAATTCATGGATAAAAAATAAGATGTGTTAAAATATGATGTATTGTCTTAATATGAACATTGTGGTTTATATTAAGATATATGTACAGCTGATATGATAATTTTATTTATAAGTAAGAACATACATATATTCTTAATTTTTCGTCTAGTTACCTTTAATTTGTTTAATTTAAAATACAATTAGGATTATAAATAAAAATCATAATATACTATGGAACCGAAAGGTCCACTGATTAATCTCAGATAAGATAGTATAATACATACCCCAAGTATCGAAATGCACGCCATCGTGTCGGGATTCAATTCCGACATGATACGATACTTGGAGTATGTATTGTAATATACTATGGTATATGCAAAAGTTACAGCAAATCCTTGTATGCATTTTCCATTTAAGCTACCTCATCTACAATACATTACACAATTATCCAGATCAAATCTGAACAGACGTGCTCTGTAGATAATATTTCCTTCGCTTTTTTCAAATATTATATTCCATTCGTCCATCCAACAATGTCAGACTTGCCTTCCCCAAACTCAATTTGTAATACTATAGGTTTCAATTTCTTCCAATAACTTTGTGACCTCTATAATATTTAATGACTAATGGTGCACTCACACCCACTCAAGCAGAAGTAACAAATTATTTTTTGGACATGAGTTGACATACAAATGCATTTTTAATCTCATCTTTTACTTCCTTTCTAAAAAATTAGTAGTGAAATTGTATTCACTGACATATCTATTACTGATTTCTCTGATTTTCCATGTCTTGTTTAATGTTATACCATAACAAATTGAATAGAAGCCCAATGGGCTTAAGCTCAAGAAGAAGTGCATCTTGAATTGAAGCCCGTTCCCCCCCCCCCCCAAGGTACAGTACATACGCTGAACATGAATTTCAAAGAAACAAAATATATTAAAAACATGCTTGGTTTACACAGCAGTTTTGGTGATTTAATGCAGGTTAATACACTCCATGATACAGACTGATGTTACAGTGGCCCTATTTATTGTTTAATACTGTAGTAGTAAATCCCAAAATTTACTGTATTCATTTTGAAAAGAATCCCCTTACTTTGAAAAAGTAGCCTCGAAAAGAAGCCAATCTCAAAAAGGAAGCTCATCCAAAGTTCACAAAAAAAAAAAAAAGAAGAAGTAGCCTAGGGCTTCTATTCAAGGTTTTACGGTATGTCGTTAAGTGTTTAAAAATATGAGTTTAATTTTCAACTTTTTAACATATGATATATTATCAACTTAATAACATATTCTTCATATTATCATATTATAAAATTGAGTAAAAAATCCTAAAATTGTATTTTTATTATTTTGAATATTTATTAATGATAATGGTGTTTGTGATTTGGTGTTATTGAATGTATTTGAATTTTGTTGTTGTTTGTAATCTTGAATTTTTGTACTACAATAATTTCAGACTGGTTCTGCTTTTTGTATTTTACCATATACCAGAACAAAACAAAAAAATTTTCTTAAGTCAGCAGTCATAGCAATATTCTATAAATATATACTACTAAGAAATGTCCATATTTAAATTATTTTCCTTTAGCAGGAAAACATTTTCTTTCCAGCACCATTATTGATGCACAATGTGCAAGCAATCACCAAAATGTTTGAAAACTAAAAATGCTCATTTTAATTTTTATAATCCACTTTTTTTTAACACTGCACGCACCCCCAGCCTATGCCCATGCGTATGTAAAACTACAGTTATT